TATATTAAAAGTTTCGGAATATATTAAAAGTTTCGGAATATATTAAATGTTTCGGAATATATTAAATGTTTCGGAATATGTTAAATGTTTTGGAATATATTAAAGTTTCGGAATATATTTAAAGTTTCGGGATATATTAAAAGTTTCGGAATATATTAAAAGTTTCGGAATATATTAAAAGTTTCCGAATATATTAAAAGCTTAGGAATTTATTAAAAGTTTCGGTAAGTATTAAAAGTTTCGAAATATTTTAAAAGTTTCGGAATATTTTACAAGTTTCGGAATATTTTACAAATTTCGGAATATTTTAAAAATTTCGGAACATATTAAAAATTTCGAAATATTTTAAGTTTCGGTATATTTTAAAAGTTTCGGAATATTTTAAAAGTTTCGGAATACTTTAAAAGTTGCGGAATAGTTTGAAAGTTTCCGAAAAAATTTCTGAGCAGAACTTATTTTTCGGAAAAACACGAAACATCTTGAGAAAACCCGATTATATTCGTCTTTCCAAAATATCTATAAACTAAGTCAAAATTTAAAGCATTTTTAGCTCAGACACATTTTGTATTTTTGTCCTGGCTGTAAAAATTAAAGGAAGAAATTTTCGATTTTGATTTGTAAAATATTGTGAGTCAAAACTTTGTATATCATGAAAATATCATGTAAATCAATCAATCAAAAATCAATAAAATTTCTAGAAAAGTTGTAAAGTTCTCAAGTTTCCGCAAAGACCCCAAAAAGATATCTCCGGAAAATACGAAAAAAATTTTAAGTTTCCGAAAACTCCGTAAAAAATACCTAGCTTCCAAACACAAGCTTGAGATAAAAAAAAAATCCAAAAGCTTCCGGAAATCCCTTTAATTTTACGATGCACTATTAAAAGCTTTCCGATTTTCCGAAAACTCCCTTAGAAAACTCATTAGAGTTGTACCGTTGTTTCGAAATTTCAAATATGAGAGGTCGAAGTAAAGACCTTGGCCTTTAGGTGTGCGATAAGATTTTAATTTTTGAAGTCAGAACTTTTTTATCGGTGATTTTTTATCGGTGATTTGGAGTTTGATGATATTAAAAACCGACCTATCTCCACTCGGAAACGGCTGCACGGATTTAGATGAAATATGTCACTCGGATCGCTTATAACTCTGACTAACATTTTCAATAGTTTCTTCGGTTTTGAATTAAACTTTAGGGCGTTTGAGCGCCATGCGGGTTCACTAGTTTTACTCATTACTCCGTCAATATATTGGTATGCATTTTTTGCACAGATAAAATCCCACTTCCAACGAACTCTTAGGACCCTAAAGACTTTTTATTTGAATAATTTATTTTTTTTCCTCCAGATTAGTGAGCGTAGGGGTTAAAACCAACAAACTTTTTTTTACAAACCTTTAAAACAACTAATGTATGAAGGTTGTTAGCTTTTTTGTTTACATTCAAATCATTCCATGAAAAACTGCCGTTACACACATATTAATAAAGTTTTAAACATTTAGATAAGCATTTCTAATAAGCACACAGGTAAATTTACGTCATTGCTGATAAAAATGAGAACGATAACGAAGTCATTAAAAACGCATAAAAAATTAAGGAAGGTTAACACCTTGTTTGTAAAAAAAAATGTTTTATAGTTAAATGTTTTATGCATACCACTATTTTGCTAACGACAGCGCTATCCTCACTGCATGCTTTGGAATTGAAAATCTGGCAAATTTCCATACATAATTGTTAATAAAAGCCA